AATTGGGGAGAAAATAGGAAAAAAATTGGGGAAAAATTGGGCAAAATTGGGAAAAAATTGGGGGGAAATTGATGAAAATTTGGGGGGAAATTGGAAAAATTTGGGGGGGAAAAGAGGAAAAATTGGACAAAAATTGGGGAGAAAAGGGGGAAATTAGGGAAAAAATTTGGGCTAAAATGGAGGAAAAAATTGGGGAAAAAATGGAGAAAATTGAGGAGGAAAAAGGGGGAAAATTGAGGGGAAAAAGGGGAAATTAGGGAAAAATTGGGGCTAAAATGGGGAAAAAAGGGGGAAATTAGGGAAAAATTGGGGCTAAAATGGGGGGAAATTGGGAAAATTTTGGGGAAAAATTGGAGAAAAATTGAGGGGAAAAAAGGGGCAAATTAGGGAAAAATTGGGGCTAAAATGGGGAAAAATTGGGAAAAAAATGGAGAAAATTGAGGAGGAAAAAGGGGAAAAATTGACGGAAAAAAGGGGGAAATTGGGGAAAAATTTGGGCTAAAATGGGGAAAAATTCGGGAAAAATTGGGGGAAAATTGAGGAAAAAAGGGGGAAATTATGCAAAAAAATTGGGGCTAAAAGAGAGGAAATGACACAAAACTGGGGAGAAAATTTGGGGATAAAATCTGTGGAAAAGGCCCAAAAAAAAAGGTTAAAAAATAAAAAATTGACAACTGCTGCTGCAAACCTCCCAAACCCTTCGTGCATTTCACCCCAAATCAACTTTTTTATCCAAATTTTTTTTTGTTTTTCCCGACAAAAATTCCCAATTTTTTCCCCCTCCTCCCTCCAGATGGCGAACTCACCCTTTTGATTCCTCACATTTTAAAAAAATTCCAAGATTTCGCTGCTTCCTTCCGAGTTTGTTTTTTTTTTTCCCCCCCCCCTCACTCAACTTTTTCCTGAGGGGGGCAAAAAAGGCGGGAAAAAAAGCGCGGGAAAAAAAGCGCGGGAAAAATTTTTTTTTTTTATAAAGCAGCGCTTACCGCCGTGCAGTACAAGAAGGAACCGCGGCCCGAGAAGAACATCGGCAACGTTCGGAAATGTTCGGCAAAGATCGGAAACGGAGCGTTCGGCTTCGGAGCCGCTCGGCTTCGGAGCCGTTCGGGTTCGGAGACGCCCGGAACCGCTCGGGTTCGGAGCCGTTCGGAACCGTTCGGCTTCGGAGCCGTTCGGGTTCGGAGCCGCTCGGGTTCGGAGACGCCCGGAACCGTTCGGGTTCGGAGCCGTTCGGAACCGTTCGGCTTCGGAGCCGTTCGGAGCCGCTCGGGTTCGGAACCGCTCGGAACCGTTCGGCTTCGGAGCCGTTCGGAACCGTTCGGGTTCGGAACCGCTCGGAACCGTTCGGCTTCGGAGCCGTTCGGAACCGTTCGGGTTCGGAACTGTTCGGAACCGTTCGGCTTCGGAGCCGTTCGGAACCGTTCGGGTTCCGCTTCGGCTCCGCTTCGGCTCCGCTCGGCCGCGCCCCGCTCGGCTCCGCCCCCGTCCCCTCACGGCTCCCGCGGCAAAAAAAAAGGCAAAAAAAAGGGGAAAAACGGGAAAAAAACGGGGAAAGGGAGAGGGGAAAGGGAGAGGGGAAAAAGAAGGGAAAAGGGAGAAGGAAAAGGGAGAGGGAAAAGGAAAAGGAGCAGCCGTGCCCGTCCCGTGCCCGCCGCCATCTGACCCGTTCCTGACCACCCAAAATAGCCCTAAAAATGAGGATTTTAACCCCAGAGAACGAGATCAAAATGCACAGAAATAGCCCCAAAAATAGCCCTAAAAATGAGGATTTTAACCCCAGAGAACGAGATCAAACTGCACAGAAATAGCCCCAAAAATAGCTCCAAAATAGCCCTAAAAATGGGCATTTTAACCCCAGAGAACGAGATCAAACTGCACAGAAATAGCCCCAAAAAATAGCTCCAAAATAGCCCTAAAAATGAGGATTTTAACCCCAGAGAAAGAGATCAAACAGCACAGGAATAGCCCCAAAAAATAGCTCCAAAATAGCCCTAAAAATGAAGATTTTAACCCCAGAGAAAGAGATCAAACTGCACAGAAATAGCCCCAAAAATAGCTCCAAAATAGCCCTAAAAATGAAGATTTTAAGTCTATGGATTAAGATAAAACGGGGCTAAAACAGCCCCAAAAAATCCAGATTTTAACCCCAGGGAATGAGATGAAACTGCTCAGAATTAGACCCAAAAATTGCCCTAAAAATCCAGATTTTAACTCCAGGGAATGAGATGAAACTGCTCAAAATTGGACCCAAAAATTGCCCCAAAAATCCAGATTTTAACTCCAGGGAATGAGATGAAACTGCTCAAAATGAGACCCAAAAATTGCCCCAAAAATCCAGATTTTAACTCCAGGGAATGAGATAAACCAGGCCTAAAATCAGCCCTAAATGATCCTTTAAAATTCTTAACCTGTTCCTAAAGTTGGGAGTGAAATCCCAAAACCAGGCTTACCTAACACCCAGGAGATTCCAATGGGATTTGGTTGAGCCAGGCCTAAGGCAGGGCTGAAGTGAACGCCCCGAGCAGCGGGGAACGCACGAGCGGCGTTCCCAAAAAACTGCCCCTGAGGAATCCCGGAGGAACCGAGGCACGGAGGAAACGCGATCCGAAATAACGAACCGGAATCCTAAATAATTAACCGGAATACTAAATAATTAACCGGAATCCCAAGGGAACTGGAGTCCCAAAGGAACTGAAATCCTAAATAAGGAACCAGAATCCCAAAGGAACGAGAATCCCAAAGGAACCGGGATCCCAAACAGAATCCCAAATGGATCAGAATCCCAAAGGAACCGGAATCTCAAAAAATGAACCACAATCCTAAATAATGAACCAGAATCCCAAAGGAACGAGAATCCCAAAGGAACCGGGATCCCAAAGAAATTAACCACAACCCCAAAGGTACCACAATCCTAAATAACGAACCAGAATCCCAAATTAACCAGAATCCTAAATAATGAACCAGAGTCCCGAAGGAGCCGGAATCCCAAATGAACCGGAATCCTAAATAAGGAACCACAATTCCCAAAGGAACGAGAATCCCAGAGGAACCGGAGTCCCAAATAATGAACCACAATCCCAAAGGAACCACAATCCCAAATACAATAGAATCCCAAAGGAATGGGAATCCCAAAGAAATGAGCCACGATCCCAAATAAATGAACCACAACCCCAAAGGAACCGGAATCCCAAATGAATCGGAATCCCAAATAGGATAGAATGCCAAAGGAATGGGAATCCCAAAGGAGCCGGGATCCCAAAGGAACAGAAATCCCAAAGGAATGAGCCACAATCCCAAATAAAGGAACCGGAATCCCAAAGGAACCGGAATCCCAAATAAATGAAACTGAATTCCAAATAAAGGAACCACAATCCCAAAGGAACCTGGTTCTGATCCTAATCCTGGTTTAAAATCTGGTTCTGATCCTGCTCCTAATCCTGGTTCTAATCCCAGGTCTGCTCCTGATCCAAATCCTGGTTCTGTTCCTAATCCCAGTCCTGCTCTTAATCCTGCTCCTGATCCAAATCCTGGTTCTGTTCCTAATCCCAGTCCTGCTCTTACTCCTGCTCCTGATCCTAATCCTGGTCCTGCTCCTAATCCCGGTCCCAGTCCTGGAACATGCTCTAATCCTGCTCCTGATCCAAATCCTGGTTCTGTTCCTAATCCCAGTCCTGCTCTTAATCCTGCTCCTGATCCTAATCCTGGTCCTGCTCCTAATCCCGGTCCCAGTCCTGGAACAGAGGGAATTCCTCCTGGAATCAAAGCCAGAAAATCGGGATTTAAACTCCTCAATTCCTAAATCCTTCAGTCCCGAACAATTCCCACTGAGTTCTTTGCTTAAGCCAGGCCTAAGCCTTGCCACGTTCCCGAGAATTCCCTTCCCGAAATTCCCGAGGAGCTCCAGGCTCCGGTTTTTCAGGAATTTTGGAGCTGCCTCTCGTGCACTTCCCGCCTTGCGCTCCAGAGGGAGTCTCGGGCCCGGCTAAACCAGACCCCGCTAATCCCGGCCCAGCAAAAACCGGGATTAGGGGCTCGGATCCATCCTGGGAATGCAGAGATTTTCCTGGAATCATTGGAATTTTCCCAGCGGTCCAGGAGCTTTTCCTTCCTTCGAATCCTCAAAATCCTCAGAGCTGGGATTTCCTTCAAATCCCAAAATCCCAAATCCTGAGTTTTAAATCCCAAAATCCCAAATCCCGAGTTTTAAATCCCAAATTCTGAGTTTTAAATCCCAAATTTTCCATCCCAAATTTTCCATATATGGGATTTCATCCCGAGTTTTCCATCCTGAGTTTTTATTCCTGAATTTTCCATCCTGGATTTTCCATCCCGAATTTTCCCTCCCAAATTTTTCACTGCCGAGTTTCCCCCCACCCCCAAATTGGAGGCGCTGTCGAGAGCAGAGCGATATGCAAATGAGGCGGGGTCAATATGCAAATTACACGCAAATGAGGCACTAATCAATATCAATTATATGCAAATAAGACTGCATCAATATCAGAATGATATGCAAATCAGGTGGTATCCATAGCAGAACTATATGCAAATGAGTATCTGTCAATATGAATATGATATGCAAATGAGGCTGCATCAATACCAGAATTACATGCAAATGAGGCAGTGTCAATATCTGCATGATATGCAAATGAGGCAATGCCAATATCCAAATCATACGCAAATGAGACACTATCAATACCAGAATGATATGCAAATGTGACCGTATCAATATCAATAGTATATGCAAATCAGGCTGTATCGATATCAGAATGATATGCAAATTAGGCACTATCAATATCAGGATGATATACAAAGGAAATTGCACCAATATCTGAATGATATGCAAATGAGGTTGTATCGATATCAATTGTATATGCAAATGAGACTGTATCAATCCCAGAATTATGATGCCAATATCCAAATCATACTCAAATGAGACACGATCAATACCAGAATGATATGCAAATGTGACCGTATCAATATCAATAGTATATGCAAATCAGGCTGTATCGATATCAGAATGATATGCAAATTAGGCACTATCAATATCAGGATGATATACAAAGGAAATTGCACCAATATCTGAATGATATGCAAATGAGGTTGTATCGATATCAATTGTATATGCAAATGAGACTGTATCAATCCCAGAATTATATGCAAATGAGTCTGTATCAATATACAATGATATGCAAATCAGGCTGTATCAATATCAGAATTACATGAAAATGACGCACAATCGATGTCAGAATTGTATGCAAATGAGACTGTATCGATACCAGAATGATATGCAAATTAGGCACCATCGATATCAGCAGTCTATGCAAATGATGCTCCACTGATATCAGAATGATATGCAAATTAGGCTCGGTATCACAACTGTATGCAAATGAGGCAGTATCGACAGCAGCACGACGATATCAGAACAATATGCAAACGAGGCAGCACTGATACCCAAAATATATGCAAATGAGGTGTGATCGATATCCAAATGATATGCAAATGAGGCCGAATATTATTTTACAGTGACCGCACTGGAAAATTTGAATCTAATTAAATAAAATTCTTTTTTTTGCCTCATTTTGCGCCGCGGGGTCGGGAATTCCGGAGAATTCCTACAAATCCTCCGGGGTTTTATGGGATTTCCATAAAAAACCCCAAAAAAACGGGGCTGGAAATGGGGAAATTCCCAAAATCTGCCGAGTTTTTCCCGGTAAAAATCCCCAAAAATTCCCGGAACTTACGGAGGACGGCAAACCCGGAGGCACCTTCCGAACTTTCTTTGTCTGAACTTCTGGAAAAAAGGGAAAAAGGGGATTAGGAACGGGGATTTTTTGGGGATTTTGGGGCTGGAATGGGAAGATTGGGATTAATGGGATTGGGATATATGGGATTTATGGGGTCACTCCCATGGAGGGTTACTGGGATCAATGGGATTAATGGGATTGGGATATATGGGATTTATGGGGTCACTCCCATGGAGGGTTACTGGGATTATTGGGAATTCTGGGATTGGGATTTATGGGGTCCCTCTACCATGGAGGGTTACTGGGATCAATGGGATTAATGGGATTGGGATTGGGATTGATGGGGTCGCTCAACCATGGAGGGGTACTGGGATTATTGGGAATTCTGGGATTGGGATTTATGGGGTCACTCCCATGGAGGGTTACTGGGATTACTGGGATTGGGATTTATGGGATTTTTGGGGTCACTCATCCATCAAGGGTCTCTGGGTTACTGGGATCAATGGGATCACTGGGACTGGGATGGGATTTATGGGATTTTTGGGGTCACTCATCCATGGAGGGGCACTGGTTTACTGGGAATACTGGGAATTCTGGGATTGGGATGGGATTTATGGGATTAATGGGGTCGCTCAACCATGGAGGGTTACTGGGATTACTGGGATTACTGGGATTGGGATTTATGGGGTTACTCATCCATCAAGGGTCTTTGGGTTACTGGGAATACTGGGATCACTGGGATTGGGATGGGATTTATGGGATTTATGGGGTCATGGAGGGTCTCTGGGTTACTGGGATCACTGGGAATACTGGGATTACTGGGATTGGGATGGGATTTATGGGGTCGCTCAACCATGGGGGGTTACTGGGATTACTGGGATTTATGGGATTGGGATGGGATTTATGGGGTCACTCCCTTGGAGGGTCACTGGGATCAATGGGATTAATGGGATTGGGATGGGATAATGGGATGGGATGGGGATGGGGATGGAGATGGGAATGTTACTCATCCATCAAGGGTCTTTGGGTTACTGGGAATACTGGGATCACTGGGATTGGGATGGGATTTATGGGATTTATGGGGTCGCTCAACCATGGAGGGTTACTGGGATTACTGGGATTACTGGGATTGGGATTTATGGGGTTACTCATCCATCAAGGGTCTTTGGGTTACTGGGAATACTGGGATCACTGGGATTGGGATGGGATTTATGGGGTCACTCACCCATGGAGGGTGTCACTGGGGTCACTGGGAATACTGGGATTGATGGGATAGGATGGGATTTATGGGGTCCCTCACCCATGGTGGGTCACTGGGCTACTGGGATCACTGGGATAAGGGTGGGATTTATGGGATTTATGGGATTTTGGGATTCAGGGTCGCTCACCCATGGAGGAGCCGTGCAGGGGTCACTGGGATCACTGGCACCACTGGGATCAGGGTGGGATTTGCGGGATTTTGGGGTCGCTCACCCATGGAGGACCCGTGCAGGGGTCACTGGGATCACTGGCACCACTGGGATCAGGGTGGGATTTGCGGGATTTTGGGGTCGCTCACCCATGGAGGACCCGTGCAGGGGTCACTGGGATCACTGGCACCACTGGGATCAGGGTGGGATTTGCGGGATTTTGGGGTCGCTCACCCATGGAGGACCCGTGCAGGGGTCACTGGGATCACTGGCACCACTGGGATCAGGGTGGGATTTGCGGGATTTTGGGGTCGCTCACCCATGGAGGACCCGTGCAGGGGTCACTGGGATCACTGGCACCACTGGGATCAGGGTGGGATTTGCGGGATTTTGGGGTCGCTCACCCATGGAGGACCCGTGCAGGGGTCACTGGGATCACTGGCACCACTGGGATCAGGGTGGGATTTGCGGGATTTTGGGGTCGCTCACCCATGGAGGACCCGTGCAGGGGTCACTGGGATCACTGGCACCACTGGGATCAGGGTGGGATTTGCGGGATTTTGGGGTCGCTCACCCATGGAGGACCCGTGCAGGGGTCACTGGGATCACTGGCACCACTGGGATCAGGGTGGGATTTGCGGGATTTTGGGGTCGCTCACCCATGGAGGACCCGTGCAGGGGTCACTGGGATCACTGGCACCACTGGGATCAGGGTGGGATTTGCGGGATTTTGGGGTCGCTCACCCATGGAGGACCCGTGCAGGGGTCACTGGGATCACTGGCACCACTGGGATCAGGGTGGGATTTGCGGGATTTTGGGGTCGCTCACCCATGGAGGACCCGTGCAGGGGTCACTGGGATCACTGGCACCACTGGGATCAGGGTGGGATTTGCGGGATTTTGGGGTCGCTCACCCATGGAGGACCCGTGCAGGGGTCACTGGGATCACTGGCACCACTGGGATCAGGGTGGGATTTGCGGGATTTTGGGGTCGCTCACCCATGGAGGACCCGTGCAGGGGTCACTGGGATCACTGGCACCACTGGGATCAGGGTGGGATTTGCGGGATTTTGGGGTCGCTCACCCATGGAGGACCCGTGCAGGGGTCACTGGGATCACTGGCACCACTGGGATCAGGGTGGGATTTGCGGGATTTTGGGGTCGCTCACCCATGGAGGACCCGTGCAGGGGTCACTGGGATCACTGGCACCACTGGGATCAGGGTGGGATTTGCGGGATTTTGGGGTCGCTCACCCATGGAGGACCCGTGCAGGGGTCACTGGGATCACTGGGATAAGGGTGGGATTTATGGGATTTTGGGGTCGCTCACCCATGGAGGAGCCGTGCAGGGGTCACTGGGATAGGGGTGGGATTTATGGGATTTTGGGGTCGCTCACCCATGGAGGAGCCGTGCAGGGGTCACTGGGATCACTGGGATCACTGGGATAAGGGTGGGATTTGTGGGATTTTGGGATTTTGGGGTCGCTCACCCATGGAGGAGCCGTGCAGGGGTCTCCGGCGCGCGCTGCCCCCGTACTGGTAGAACTGGGAGCCCGGCTTGCTGGGGGACAGCGCCCCGGGCGTGGCCAGCTCCATGTCCCCTCCCAGCAGGCTCTGCTGCACAGGAACACACGGCTCTGGGATCCGACCCCGATCCCGATCCCGATCCAAACCCTGATCCCAACTCCAATCCTGACCCTAATTCCAATCCCAATCCCGATCCTGATCTCAACCCCAACCCCAGTCTTGATCCTGATCCCAACCCCAATCCCAATCATAATCCCAGTTGCGATCCTGATCCAGATCCCAAACCCAATCCCAATCCCGATCCTGATCCTGATCCAAATCCCAATCTGATTCCCATTCCTGATCCTGACCCCAATCCCAAACCCAATCATAATCCCAATTGCAATCCTGATCCTGATCCCAACCCCAACCCCAATCCTTACCCTGATCCCAATCCTGATCCTGATCCAAATCCCAATCCCGATCCCAACCCTGATCCCAACCCCAATCCCATTTCTGATCCTGACCCTGATCTCAACTCCAATCCCAGTCCTGATCCTGATCCCAATCCCAATCCTGATCCCAACCCCAATCACAATCATAATCCCAACCCCAATCCCGATTGTGATCCTGATCCCAATCCCAATCCTGATCCTGATCCCAATCCCAACCCCAATCCCAACCCCAATCCTGATCTCAATCCCAATCCTGATCCTGATCCCAACCCCAGTCCTGATCCCATTCCCAATCCTGACCCTGATCCCAACCCCAATCCCATTCCTGATCCTGATCCTGATCCAAATCCCAATCATAATCCCAATTGCGATCCTGACCCTGGTCCCAACCCCAACCCCAATCCCGATCCTGATCCCAATCCCCATCCTGACCCTGATCCCAACCCCTCCTATTCCTGATGCTAATCCCAATCCCAATCCCAACCCCAATCACAATCCCAATTGTGATCCTGATCCTGATCCCAATCCCAACCCCAATCCCAATCCTGATCCCAATCCCAACCCCAATCCCAACCCCAATCCCAATCCTGATCCTGACCCCAATCCCAATCCCAATCCCAATCACGATCCTGATCCCAACCCCAATCCTGATCCTGATCCCATTTGTGATCCTGACCCTGATGTCAACTCCAATCCCAGTCCTGATCCCGACCCCAATCCTGACCCCGATCCCAATCCCGATCCTGATCCCAATCCCGATCCTGATCCCAACCCCAATCCTGATCTCGATCCCAATCCCAACCCCAATCCCAACCCCAATCCTGATCTCAATCCCAATCCTGATCCTGATCCCAACCCCAATCCTAATCCTGATCCTGATCTCAACTCCAATCCCAGTCCTGATCCTGATCCCAACCCCGATCCCAATCCTGATCCCAATCCCAACCCAAATACCAATCCCAACTGCGATCCTGATCCTGATCCCAACCCCAATCCCAATCCTTATCCCAATCTCAATGCCAATCCCAATCCTGATCCCAACCCCAATCCCAATCCCAATCCTGAACCTGATCCTAATCCCAACCCCAATCCCAATCCCGATCCCGATCCCGATCCCAATCCCAATCCCAATCAGCTCCTTGCAGCCCTACAAATAACCGGGAACGTTCCCAATCCCAATCCTGATCCTGACCCCAATCCCAATCCCAATCCCAATCACGATCCTGATCCCAACCCCAATCCTGATCCTGATCCCATTTGTGATCCTGACCCTGATGTCAACTCCAATCCCAGTCCTGATCCCGACCCCAATCCTGACCCCGATCCCAATCCCGATCCTGATCCCAATCCCGATCCTGATCCCAACCCCAATCCTGATCTCGATCCCAATCCCAACCCCAATCCTGATTCTGATCCCAACCCCAATCACAATCCCAATGCCAACTCCAATCCCAATCGCGATCCTGACCCTGATCCCGACCCCGATCCCAATCCCAATCCCAATCCCAATCCCGATCCCAATCCCAATCAGCTCCTTGCAGCCCTACAAATAACCGGGAACGTTCACGGAGACCCCACCCCAATTCCCAATTCCCATTCCCGTGAAAATTCCCGGGAATTGTGGGGTCGGGAATTTGCGCTCGGGAAAATCGGGAAGCTCTGGAAGGGATTTTATCGGGATTTTTGGGATAAAATTCCCGATTTTCTCTGTGGGGATGAGGCGGCTCCGTTTCGGGGGCGAAATCCTTTGGGGTTTGGGTTGGGATGGAAGGGGTTAAATGATATCGACTAAATTTGATATCAAATGATATCAAATACATGGAATGTAAAATGAGATCCGTTGGGGTTTGGGTGGGGATGGAAGGGGTTAAATGATATCGACTAAATTTGATATCAAATGATATCAAATATGTGAAATGTAAAATGAAATCCTTTGGGGTTTGGGTTGGGATGGAAGGGGTTAAATGATATCGAATAAATTTGATATCAAATGATATCAAATACATGGAATGTAAAATGAAACCCGTTGGAGTTTGGGTTGGGATGGAAGGGGTTAAATGATATCAAACTGCTATAAAATAATGTATAAAATCAAATAGGTCAAACACGGGGAATGCGCAGAGGATGGGAAGTAGGGGCACCATATAGAAAATATAGAATGTGTTAATTAGATAATTAATTTAGGGTAATTATGTTTGGATTCTATATGAATGTGCTTCTTATATCATGTATAGAATGGATGGTATATAAATATTCAATAATACATATTTTATATAGAAGCATAATGTATAGAATGGATTATATACTATTTATATAGACTGTGTTATGTATTATTTATATAGAATTTATTACATAATGTTCATTAAATTCATTAAATTGTAACTTCAATTGGAATGTATGTTCTATACAATGTATCATATGGAGAATGTATTTTCTATAGGATGTGCTCTATGTAATGTATTAATTAGTACGCATTGATTGAGAGTGAATTTTTAATATATTGTATATTATGTATGATGTATTATTTATTAAATATTGCATATAGAATGATTTCTATATAATTACCTATGTAATGAATTTTATGTTAATATATTAATATAGTGTAAATATGTAATGTCATATATAACATGTACATATATAAATATTATATTATTATATAGTATACATTATATATATATAATGTATATAATAACAGTGTTAATATGTAATGTCTCATATATTTACAATGTATTATATATAATGTATTATATAGAATGCATTATATAGAATGTATAAAACATGTCATAGTGTATTAATATATAATGTCTGCTATAGAATGCATTAATAAATCATGTATTAAACAGAGTGCATGATATAGAATGCATTAAATGGAATGTGTGATGTATGCAGTGTATTAAATATAATATATTCAATATATCATGTATTCAATATATCATGTATTCAATATATAATATATCAACATGTAATCAATATATAATGTACTCAGTTATAATATATTCAATATAGAATGCATTCAATATATGATATATTCAATTATAATATATTCAATATATAATGTAATCAATATATAATGTATTCAATTCTAATATATTCAATATATAATATATTCAATATATAATATATTCAACATATAAAGTATTCAATACGTAATATATTCCATTATAATATATTGAATATATAATATATTCAATATATAATGGGTTCAATATGTAATACATTCAAATACAGGATGTATTCAATATATAACATATTAAATTCTAGGATATTCAATATATAATGTATTCAATATAGAATACATGAATATGTAATATATTCAATCTATAATGCATTCAATGTAGAATACATTCAATATATAACACATTCAATATGTAATATATCAATATCAAATGTATTCAATATACAGTATATTCAATATGTAATGTATCAATATCAAATGTATTCAATCTATGGTATATTCAATATGTAATGTATCAATATCAAATGTATTCAATCTATGGTATATTCAATATGTAATGTATCAATATCAAATGTATTCAATCTATGGTATATTCAATATGTAATGTATCAATATCAAATGTATTCAATCTATGGTATATTCAATATGTAACGTATCAATATCAAATGTATTCAATCTATGGTATATTCAGTATACAGTATATCAATATCAAATGTATTCTTTCTATGGTATATTCAATATATAACATATATTGATGTGTTATATAATGGGCCAATCCCAATCGCGATCCTGACCCTGATCCCGACCCCGATCCCAATCCCAATCCCAATCCCAATCCCGATCCCAATCCCAATCAGCTCCTTGCAGCCCTACAAATAACCGGGAACGTTCACGGAGACCCCACCCCAATTCCCAATTCCCATTCCCGTGAAAATTCCCGGGAATTGTGGGGTCGGGAATTTGCGCTCGGGAAAATCGGGAAGCTCTGGAAGGGATTTTATCGGGATTTTTGGGATAAAATTCCCGATTTTCTCTGTGGGGATGAGGCGGCTCCGTTTCGGGGGCGAAATCCTTTGGGGTTTGGGTTGGGATGGAAGGGGTTAAATGATATCGAATAAATTTGATATCAAATGATATCAAATACATGGAATGTAAAATGAAATCCGTTGGGGTTTGGGTGGGGATGGAAGGGGTTAAATGATATCAAACTGCTATAAAATAATGTATAAAATCAAATAGGTCAAACACGGGGAATGCGCAGAGGATGGGAAGTAGGGGCACCATATAGAAAATATAGAATGTGTTAATTAGATAATTAATTTAGGGTAATTATGTTTGGATTCTATATGAATGTGCTTCTTATATCATGTATAGAATGGATGGTATATAAATATTCAATAATACATATTTTATATAGAAGCATAATGTATAGAATGGATTATATACTATTTATATAGACTGTGTTATGTATTATTTATATAGAATTTATTACGTAATGTTCATTAAATTCATTAAATTGTAACTTCAATTGGAATGTATGTTCTATACAATGTATCATATGGAGAATGTATTTTCTATAGGATGTGCTCTATGTAATGTATTAATTAGTACGCATTGATTGAGAGTGAATTTTTAATATATTGTATATTATGTATGATGTATTATTTATTAAATATTGCATATAGAATGATTTCTAT